TGGATGAATCTCGTTATTTTTTAATTTTTAGTATCTGGTTCTAATTCAATTTTATATAAAGGTTGAGGAATTTTATCTTTGTTTTTTATGTTAAAAACTGATTTTACCTCAAAGCCAGCATTTTCAACAGCAATTTTTATTTCTTCAGTATCAGCATTCGGTTCGATGCCTTTAACAACTACTGCTATTCCCTTGCTACTTTTGAGCTGATAAGTATAAAAATTTTTGGAGTTTTCCTTTAAATAGTCGTTAATCTTACGGAACTGGTGTTCGGTTTCAGTTTGTATCTTCGTTTCTTCAATTGCACCTCTTTTAAGAGGAGTAACGTAGAAAGACTTAGAGTCAATTAATTTAGTAAGATTGTTGACAAGAGTATTTGAACACTTTTCGCGTAAGTAAATTGGAGGTGGATGGAAAGTTTTTATTTCTGATATATGGTCCTTTTCATAATTTTCAATAGCGAGCGCGGCAAAGCGATTACCATATAGAGAATTATCACTTAATTTTAATTGTTTTAAATTTGACTTAGACATTTTTTGTGGGCTCAATTTTCTTTTTATGTTAACGTAGCGGTCCATACCAGTCTGTATGACCGCACTTATTTGGTTATTTGTGTTCGCTGTAAAAGTGGAGCTTTTGTGAGCGAGCTGTTTTGTGCTTATATGTGGTGGTGGTCAATCAAGCAATCCATGATTGATTAGAAAAAAATCGATCTTTTTCTTTTAAAAGTATTGAGTTCGAAAAAACTTTAGCATCGTGAGTCGAGCCCTCATAACCAACAACAACATCTCTTATTCTTAATTTGTAATCACAAACAGCTTGAAGTTTAATGGAATAAATGTGATTTCTTGAAAAATATTTTTCTTGATTAATTTGTGGTGCATCTGCAATTTTTATTTCGGTGCCATCGATATAGCCAATGCAAAACGGTAATTCATTGTACGTGTCACTTATTATTTGTTCCTGCTCTGATGAGCTTGGCCATACGATGTACTTCGTCAATAGTGTTATAAAAACACTAAAAATTCTTTGTGTAATTTTCATCAAAGTTGCACCATCGCCAATTCCAAAAGTAGTTGCTACTTTCCTTATTGACGCACTCTCTCCTGAAGAGCCCAAACGATACAGAACTATAGCTAAATGTAGTCCAATCGGAAACTGTTTGCTGCCGTTTGCTTTTTTAAATATTTCAGCTTCAGAAATCAAGGCAACTAAATAAGCAAATAAGCAAAACCGACCGTCATCTAACTTGGTTAAAATTTTTTTTTACTTTTGATTCAAATTAATATATAAATTCTACTTACAAAATAAATATTTCCACTGTGATACTTCTTTTAGAAGTAATTAAAAAAAATTAATTTATCAGTTGTCATTCACGTTGCTCATACGCACCATAATACCATTAAATCAATTTTCGAAGAAAAACTATACAAAAATTTTCACTTTTTATTTTTAAACCTGCGCAACAAGTATCCGGATTTTGTTGTTTGTTAACTACTCCTTAAGTAATAGACCTTTTTCAAAAAAATTTTTTTTTTGTTAATAGGGTACACCCTTTCTTGACATATGGTACAAATTTGAACGCCATCTGTCAATTAGTTTGTTTACAGCAGCTGTTAATGTGAAACTACCTCAAGTGCATTTAGCGATTTTTACTATGGAAAATTCTTGTTGTACGCGATTTTTTGACCAAACACAGCACCACCGTCATCGCTCAGGCACCATATTCACCAGATCTAGATCCGTTTCCTGTTCCCGTAACTCGAATTGCTTCTTCGTGGTAAGCGTTTTGAGTCGATTGAATCGGTAAAAGAGAATTCGCTGAAGGAACTAAAAGCCATACCTTCACGGGCCTACGAAAAGTGTATGGAAATTTGGGTAAAGCGTTGGCATATGTGTATCGCTTTAGAAGGAGCATATTTTGAAGGAGATAAAATAAATTTGGAATAAAATTTAAATTTGTGTGTTTTATTTACAAAATCCGAGTACTTTTTGAGCAGAAGGTAAAATATTGACATTTTAAATTAGTTCCACATCATTTCTGTTTTTAAATTATGATTTTTAACATAATTAAACCGTTCAATAAACTTTTTTCTTATATACCATAGATGAATTAAAAAGTTGATTAGATTCATAGTAGTCGAACTATCTAAAAAACTGCAGCAGATAATCACACCTACCTTTTTCGGTGGAAGATAGCAAATATATTATCTTTGATGGCCATCAAAGATTAGCTTATATGGCGTTATATGTGCGTTATATGAGCTTATATGAACTTATATGAGCTTATATGACACTAAAGTTAAAGAGCCATCAAAGCAAAACATTGTTGTACCAAACGGTCGTGAGCGGGTATTTTTTATTTGCTCAGGTATTTCTCGCTTGTTGGATCTTATTGTTCCAACAATGGTCAACTTATATGGCTCTTTTAGGAAGCTCTTTGCTAGTTGTACGAAGGTGAACCAATTATCGAAAGTGATGTTGCGACAGGTACCATGTATTGGCCTTTTTAACTCCTTCACGAAGTATTCACCTAATGGCATCGTTGAAGTTGTGTAACGACACGGATTTTCCCGTTTCGTTGTACCATTTTTAATATTTATTTATTTTATATGTTGACATACAATGCCACTGAGTGATCATACAAGACACACTCCCTTCTTAGAAAATTGCGCCGTCTTTTATATGCATCCTCTTGAACTTTATGTGCAAAGTACACAAAGCTTTCAGTTTCTCTTAGTTAAACTTAATGCACTTTAACACTTGCACAAAAGCTTCCTTGTGCATCTTTTTGCAGCGAATTGCATTTTGACGTTTTTGACGTTTGCAAATGTTTGTTTACATTTTTACTTTTTACATGAAAGCGCCGGTGTTAGTAATTTTATCGTGTTTTTTTTTAAATTATTTATAATTTAATTTTATAATTATGAAAAATTATTTATTAATAAATTATTTAAATAAATTTGCGGGGATGAACAAAGAAGGAATGTATTTATTATTTTATTAAGATATATTTCTCTATTTATTACAAATTTATTTTCTCTTAATTTCAGATTGCTTCACGTGTTGCAGTTGCGTGCAGGCTGGGTGACTTTTTGGTAAGTAGTTTCTAATAACTATGTTAAATGTTAATTCCTCTATTTTAATTTCAGATTTCTTCGAAATTTATTTAAATTTATGTAGGTTGGAAATTTGTGCAAAATTTTCATCCTTATAGTTGTTGTTGTCTTGTCCAAATATGGCAACAATGTACCTATCTCCACTATAGGTGGTATTGAATAACTCAATAGCTGACAAGTGATTGTCCTTCAATACTGCGGTCAAAGTCAGTATGCTAAGAAGAGCACCAATTTCAAGACAATTTGTATCTGCGAACGTTTTGCTTGTCAAATTAGTTGTTCGTATTAGAGATATCTCTGCATCTGTCCACTAAACTATTTCTGATATTATTTCGTCAGTAAAAAAAGCAGTGAAGGAAGAAATCGGATCACATAAGGCTTTACATGCTCTTGTGAGACCTCTTATTATTCGAACACCATTCATCGATAGAACTCTACCGGCATTTATTCCCTTCGAAGTAGTCCAGCAATATTGGCTTTTGCTTCTTGATGTTGGCTGAAGTACTCTTACTATCCGGCTGTCTAAAGACGACCTATTATTGTTGGTTTCTTCGTGTTCCGGGTCTGGCGATATATTTTCGCGATTTTCCTGTACATTAAGATCTTTATCTTTTGCGTCTTTTTTGATATTTTGGAATATCATTTTCCGATACCACATCTTCTCTTTCACTCTCATTTTCGGTTGACCTACATTCATCTGGATATGTCAGATAAGTAGCTATTTGCGTGTCGTCTAATATTTCATTACTTTCCATTTTGCTTTTATTTACACTTACATGTACTGAATTTAAATAAAAAAACACAATAACTAATAATCACTTCTCTTTCACTCTCATTTTCGGTTGAGCTAAATTCATCTAGATATGTCAGTTAAGTAGCTATTTGCGTGTCGTCTAATATTTCATTACTTTCCATTTTGCTTTTATTTACACTTACATGTACTGAATTTAAATAAAAAAACACAATAACTAATAATCACTCAAAAATTGTACAAGTAGCACAAAACATAAACATACATCTCGTAGACGTATGGCTTGGCAGTATCTCAGAATATACAAATTTTACCACCGAAAATCAACTACCACTGGTAACGACTGAGATAAATGCAAATATGCATACGTTGTGAAAACATTTGTGAGAGAGAGAGAGCAAAATGTAAAAAGATCGTACGCCTCACAGACGTACATTATGAAAGCAGGGTTGAGCTTATTATATTTATATATTTATACCGCAGCACCATACTGCAGCCGAGTAATGTACTCTCTTTTACGGTAATGTTTTTAAATACCAAAAAAAAAAATTCAAAAAACTTTTATCTTAAACCAAAATAATAAAAAATAAACAACACAAAAATTTTATTCAATTTATTTATGCTAATTTAAAGCTCGGCAAGTGCTTTGGTTAATGTTACTAATTAAATAAAAAAGTGACAAAAAACCTGGAACTAGAGCACTTAAAGTTTGTGTAGTCTCGTCTACTCGTCTACATGGTTAGTCATCGCTTCTAATTTGATAGGTACGAGTTCTAAGCCTGGCACTTGCAGCCCAAACAAATTATATACGGACTATGGTATAAACTAATTAAGAAATTCGATTATTTTCTAGAACCACTATTGATGAGAACTTGGCAATACTCGAAACAGCTTTGTATGGTCAGCCAAATTTCAATAAATTGAATAAAATTTTTGTCTTTGTCCTTTCTTTCTTTGCTATTTGAAAACCCTTTAAATTTTAAAAATAAAACAACCGGATAACCATTTAAAGAAACAAAATTAGCATTTATTTTTAAAAATATTCGTACAGTTTACACTTTGCCAATAGATTAATAACAGCAGTTTTATATTATTTAAACCATACTTTTTGATTTCATTTGCAGTGAAATTCGGTGATAAATTTATATAATTTTCCTATATGCAAGAATTATTGTTTACTATGTTGCGAGTCGTTTTCTTCTTGTTCCTTTAACTTTACAACACTTTTTTTCCTAGAAAAGATAATATTCAGTAAGGTACATTCATTTTGTTTTAATAGGTTAACCAAAACTACTTTGTATTTGCCCTGTTTGAACTCCTTGTCAGTTTCTTGTGGGCTGTCAGATCCATCAGTTGTTTTAATAAATGATGAATAGAAGGATGAGAAACTTGAGCCATCCATATCGTCGCTATTACCATTACTATCAGTATTTGGCTAAAATATACAAAACAATGCATTTAATATTTAGCACTGAATCAAATAAATAATTTCACACTATTTTTATCAAATACATAGTTTCTAAAGAGTACTTTTGGGTGATTCTTTTACTAACCGGACGGATTTTGGCAAAAAATTATCTCATGATCTACGCCTTTTATAAAATAAGAAGACCCGTATCTCGGGAAAAGATTTTGTGAAATTTTTCCTACGAGATATGGACCCATGGGGTTTTGACAATTGGCATTGTAGACATATTTTCAAATGGGTATATCTCAAGTTCTATAAAAGATAGAAACTTGAAATTTACAGCGTTTCAAAGATAATTGTTTGTACTTTTATGAAATTATTTAAGTAATTAAAATTGTTTATATTTGAGTTCTAATATTAATCCTTAAATTTCAAAAAAAAAAATTTCTCAAAACTATTATCATATTTTATATTTTATTTCGATACAGTTTTAAATTTTACTACGAAATAAAAATTTTCGCACCTACCTTTTTCGGTGAAGTGTTATTTTGCTACAGTTGGAAAAATACTCTGCACAGGTAAGAAATCTATAGGAAATAAAAAAAGGTAAAGGTGTGACTATGTGCTGCAGTTATCTAGATAGTTCGGCTAGTAAGAAACTAATAAACTTTTTTCTTATATAGATGAATTAAGCCGTTTAATTATGATAAAATTCATAATTTAAAAACAGAAATGAAGCGGAACTAATTTGAAATGTTAATATTTTATGTATACATTTATTTTAAAAATAAACAGTAGACATTTTTGTGTAGTTTTTCTTCGGAAATTGATTTAATGGTATTATGGTGCATATGAGCAACGTAAAAACACCTGATAAATTAATTTTTTTTATTTAATTCTAAAAGGAATATCACAGTGGAAGTATTAATTTTTTAAGTATAATTTGTATATTAATCTGAAGCAAAAGTAAAAAAAAAATTTGTGTGACATAATACTTTTTTTTACTGCAAAATCGTGTGTACATGTTTGGTGTGATATGAAAGATAAATAAATTTTTAAAAGTATATAAAATTTAATTACTAATCGAAATCAATAACATTATATAAGAATATTTGTAGCATATTCTTTGAAAATTCATTCAATGGACCCATGGGGTTTTAAGAATTGGCATTGTAGACATATTTTCAAATGGGTATATCTCAAGTTCTATAAAAGCTAGAAACTTGAAATTTACAGTGCTTCAAAGATAATTGATTGTACTTTTGTGAAATTGTTTAAGCAATTAAAACTTTTTTTTTTTTCTCCCGCAAAACACATCAAGCACATGCGTACTACATTTCCATTGAATGAATTTTCAAAGAATATGCTACAAATATTCTTATATAATATTATATTAAATTCTATATACTTTTAAAAATTTATTTATCCTTCATATCACACCAAACATATACACACGAATTTTCAGTAAAAAAAACAGGATTATGTCACACAAATTTTTTTTTACTTTTGATTCAGATTAATACCCATTTAAAAATATGTCTACAATGCTAATTCTCAAAACCCCATGGGTCCATATCTCGTAGGAAAAATTTCACAAAATCGTTTCCCGAGATACGGGTCTTCTTATTTTATAAAAGGAGTTCATAAAAAAATTTCAGAAAAATCGGAGATCATGAGGTCAACAAGGTGTCCGAGTTGTAAAAGAATGACCCTTTTACAATACAAAGTATGAAAATCGTATTTTTTAAAATTTATATTCCAAAGTAAGAGTTATTCTTTTTCATTCTGCATATTTTCTATAATAATTTGTCTTAATAAGATTATTGTGAATATGGAATATATGAATATGGTATCTAAAGTGGCCCTTAGACAGCATCACGTGTTGTAACGACACTTTTGGGTGACGTTCAAAATTTTTAGTTTTGCTGGGGTATCCTCAGCCGTCGTCCAGAGTCGAGACAATTTATTTATAGTTTCGCTGAGACGTTGTTTTAGAAGAAAAAAAAACGTTGTTTTATATATATGAATTATATATATCTTTATTTATTCCATGAAGACTTATGATCTAACAAAGTTTAATTAACCAAATTCCAAATAAATTATTTAGCCTATAATAAGTGATTATTCCTTGAAAAAAAACATTCCTTTTGCTTTTTAATAATAATCAAAAAAAATATATGTTGACGCCAGAATTTCCTTTCTCAATATATTACTTGTAAAAAAAAAGATTTTTGGCAACCACAGTGTGACTTCCTGAGCCCCTTCTCTGTTGTGAAGTTGAACTTTGTGTTCTACTGTTTTCCTTTTCTTCTACTTCGCCGTGACTTTTAGTACTTTTACTACGCCCCGTGTTTATTTATTTCGTGTGTTATTTCTCTTTAATTTATATTTTATTATTAAAAAAATAAAGTGTATTAATAATTCAAAACAAGGTATTAAATATACCTATATATTTTGTGAATTTAATATTATCTAAATGTGAAAAGAAAAGAAATAAATTAGTAAATAGAAAAAACTAGCGTTGATGTGCTTAGTTGCTGCCGAAGTTTGTTTTGTTTACGTGTATAAAAATAAAATTGTACAAACATGAGTGTTAAATTGTTTTGTGTATTATTTTATTTATATATATTTCAAATAGATATTTGTTCAATAATTAAACGTGTTTTCTGTAATAATTGTTCAGTGTTGTTGTGTTTATAAGTTTTGTTTTCATTCATAAATTTTTGTAACAAACAAATTAAATTTTTTTCGTATATTTTAGATTCTGCACATGTATCGATGCCCGCGGCACGTTGGCTTCGAGGATCGCAGGTAATGTCCATGATATGTTGAATAACATTTTAATTCAATTTTATGTTTTTCCAGCTAAATCTACTTCAGTTATTTTCACGTGAGTTATTGAATATATTATGTGTAGCGGTGGCAGTTATTTTACGAACAGACTTTATTTTTTTCTTCTTCTAGATCATATGTAACACAAAAATTTATCGTAAAAATTTATGTCGTTACAGTGTTGACAACGCACGAAGTCTTCTCTCGCCATTACACATCAAATTTTACAACAATTTTTTAAACACGCCTCCAGCAAACAATGCAAAATTTGTTCACTCATCAGTATTAAAGCAATCGCTGAAGTGTCAACAGCGGCTGCTATGCGTAATTTCCATACGAAAAACGACGTTTTACATATAATTTATAATTTTAAATTATATGTTTATTTTTATAATTTCAATTTTTATATTTATTTTTATATATATTATATTTTATTTAATTTAATTTTTTTTTTTTGGTATATATTAATAACAAATTTTCCGTCGGTGCACAATGCAATTAATATTTAAAATAAAATATTCATTGTAATTTAATGTTTGGTTATTTATATATTTTTGTTAGCCCAAGGTTATTAATATTTTAGTTCTTCTTAATAACTTGTTTTGGAAATTAAAAAATTTTACCTATTTAGAAAATATAAATATTTAAAATAAAAGATACAATTCATTCATATTTGCAAAGCATCGCATGCTAACGACAAATAATGTGTGCATATAAACAATATTTACGCTTCCATTTCTCAAAATAAATGAAATTTTGCATGCCGACCAAATCCGACTGTATATGCAAAGACACGAGCGTGTTTGAAGATATATCAAAAATTTTGATTTTCGTCAACGCATTTCTTAAATTTCAAATATTACTATTGCACACACAAATTTCGCATTTCATAAAATAGGAGAAAAGTAGGAGAAAAAATTCTCATGTGTATATACGCGAAAATTCTATTAATTAAGACACAATACTTTAGTTTTTGCGACTTCTTTATTAAATGTGAATCTTGACTAAACTATCTCTAATATTTTTCCCCTTATATATAGGGAGGATTCGAATTATTGAATCCTGATAAGACGCTTCGTTGTTTGGTTAGGCCAAACAACTATAATAAAATATTTAGGATGATAATAAAACCTTTCGTTGTTTGGTTAAGCCAGACAACGATAATAATATATTTAGAACGATAATAAAACCTTTCGTTGTTTGGTTAGGCCAAACAACGATAATAAAATATTTAGAACATTGGTGAAAATCTTTAGTTGTTTGGTTAAGCCAGACAACGATAATACAAATGTTTAGAATAATATAAAGTTTAGATAATTAATCTTAATCTTGCTGGAATTGCATGAAAATGCAATTTCAGCTTTAGTTATTTTAGGCGCTGTAATCAAAAAATGCTTTTAGCGGAAATTAGGTGTCAGGTTTCGTCTGTGACGTAACTCGCATAAAGGGATGAGAGCGACAACATCGCGCGTTGACAACGGGAGATGCTGTCTAAGGGGCCCTTAAGTTATCTTAGAAATAGTTTTCTGAGAATATCAATTAGTTTAGAAATAAATTTTATTATAAATTATTTTAGAAAAAATTGTGTGTTTGTGTTCAACAAAACTAAGAGCAATAACAAACGGTTACATACAACTTGAGTCAACTATTTAAGTACTTATCGAGATCCAGCGATCGCGACCAACCAATTAACATATATATTTATAGTATTGTAACTAAGTGTATTTTACACAATGTAAATTATATTACACAAAATATTTAGTTCATAAGCTTTTGTTAGTTTAAAATTAATTTATTCTGTAAAACAACTCAAATCCGTTCATTTCATTTTTACATTTGTGTAGATATACAAACGAAAATAGAAAATAATAGGGTTATTTACGAGTTCGAATAACGCGCTCGGTAACCTAGTGACGTATTAAAAGAGCAACGCAGCAACAACAAAATACATATCTAGTGATGTGTTGCAATGTTACTACGTTAGTCAAGCATTTGGTTTGACTAACATTTGCGTTGCACTTTTACTCTTTTTTCAATGTTTCCATATTTCTTATACATAAGAAAAAATTTTACTCCGAAAATGTATTTATACTAAGCATTTCGTATGGGCAGCATTTAAAATTTGTTTTGTTTTTGTTTTTGATTAATATTAAATATTGTGTTAAGTGAAGAGCAGGACATTTGGCAAAAGTAAGTTATTAATTATATATAACTTTTAAATTAAAAGGATTTAAT